ATTCAAAACAAAACTAATGTAATTAAAAATGTATTCCTCAACAAACTCAATAAGATTTTAATAAATATTTTGTAGATCTTTTTTTTTATTGTCTTGTAGGAAGACGAGCATACGGCTCATTTGATGGTGAGTGGTTACCGTGCCCGTGGACTTCAGCAATGCCAGGAGCAGAGCCAAGCCGCTGCCTACCACTTAATACTCTCCACAAACCTCGTTTGAAGAAGGACATGTCATAGCGCTCGGGAAACACCGTGGAGGGGAGCTCATTCCATAGCCGGATGGTACGTGGCAAAAAATACCTCTGGAAACGCCCTGTCGATGACCACAGTGGCTCCAGGTAGTATGGATGAACTCTACTCCGGTGGCGGGTGGTGCGATCGTAAAAACGAGATGACGGTATCATCTCGAACAATTCCTTAGAGCACTCCCCATGGAACATACGGTCCAAAATACAGAGGGAGCCGAAGTTCCACCGCAAGCCCAGAGGTTCCAAACGATCCTATAATTAATTATAACAAATGTTTGTGCTGAAAACATTGCATATTGTTTTCGGCGTATTACTCAACTTTTCTGTATTGTTAATGCATATGCGTCCATACATTAATAGTGATGTAACTACGATCATAATAATAATAATTTATGTCGATGTGATTTCTTTATAGCTCTCCAATGCAGACGATGACAATATCTTATGCTAAGTGATTACCGCTACTTATGAGCGTCAGTAACTTCAGGAGTATAGTTGCTAATCGCTTTGACGCGTGTGACGTTTGAGCAATTTTAAATATAGCTGTATTCCGCGAGTTAGGTACGGTTGCAATAAATGCACTCTGAAGAATTTCCAATATGTGACATATTTAATATTAAAATTCGATCGTATGATTGTCAAGAAAGTTCATGTCGCGTCGGTGTTGAAAATTTTTAATATTGACACTCGCCTACTGAATTTATTGGGATTTTATTTTAATATAGGTATTACATAGTTGAATAGATTTATGTCGTGCGCCCAAGCTGCGTCAATACTGGATTAAATGTTTGAAATGGTGAGATCCTCTAATTCAAGAAAGGCAAGAGAGACGCCGGAAAACGCGAAAGTCGTTGCTTCAAGAAAAATGAATAGAATGACAAAATCATTTATAGCTATTGTTTTTTTTTATTGTTAAGATGGTGGATGAGCTCATGGCCCATGGTGGTAAGTGGTCACAGGAGCCAACAGACATCAACAAGGTAAATGTCACACACCTCGAGACATGAGTTGTAAGTCTCAGTTTTTCAGCACAACGGCTGTCCCATCCTTCAAAGCGAAACGCTTTATTGCTTCACGGCATAAATAGGCAGGGCAGTGGTACCTGCCCGTGCGGACTCACAAGACGTCCTATCACCTATATTATATTGCAATGAAATGTAAATAGAAAATTTGTAATAAATGGTTTCACTTATTATTATTCGTATTAATACGTATTACACAATAAGTAGGGCACATTGCTCGTAGAACGGATGGTCGTTGGGGCCGGATAGTTCTTGAGCGGCGACCGTGTAGTAGACGTAGCGTGGGTAGGCTTCCCACAAAACGGACCGACGATCTATTGAGGTTTGCGGGGATCCGCTGGGTGAAGGCAACGCAGGACCGGTCTTTATGGCGAGGCCTGGCGAGGCTTGGGGAAGGCCTATGTCGAGCTGGGCTGGTAAGAAGAAGAAGAAGGCACATTGAAAATAGTAAGCTTCGTTATCATAAGTACGGTGGGTGAGGTGGCAACTATACGACCCCTCTCTGCCCATTGTCAAACGTCCAAGACAACAGATGCGTCATATTGTGCTGCTAAAAAATAGTGATCACAATAAGATTTTCAAACAATTTCCATCCGAACGATTTTGTGATAAAACTAAATCAGTATTCATGGTTTATGGTAACACCCTAGATGTGACATCAGCATATCCCCATACTATTACTGGATGCTAAACAGGTTCCATCTTGTGCTCTCAAACATATTAAAAACCTAAACGTTTTATTGGAGTCAGCTATTCTCAAACTTTGTAAAAGTTTTTATTTATTTCTTTCGATGTTCTTCGATTGGTCAGACAGTGTCTTAAAAGGGTTACCGGAATCTATAATTACCACATTACATTGCATTCGGTGGGTGTGTATTTTATTAGAGTATCCGCCGTCTTGTCTATCAAACAGGATCAATTATAGAAAGGATGGTGCTATCTGTCTGCAATACGCAATAGAAGTAATATATGTTTAGATTATTAAGCAATTATTTTGGGTAGCCTTGTAATATTATAGCCGAGTACTAAGTATTCCGTTTTCTTAGGTATTTGGTAGCAAGATAGTTCCATGGATGGTACGCGAGAGTATTGAAATGGAAAAAAATCAAACTTCGATAAAGGTAGTTGGTGCTTTTCGAACACTTCTCGATGCCTCCAATGAACACTACGCTAACTCCAAATTCGTAGATTTGCAGGAGGAGCGTTTAAACGAAAAAAGTTGATAAAATCTTTATTATTGCAGATATATTTATTGTTTTTTTTGTGTAGCTAGCTGATTTACTCTTGCTCCAAATCCCATCAATAATGATTAATTATAATACTTTTAACATAGTGAAGCGATTTGCGTGAAAAACGAATATTTCAAAATTTTGAGTTAGATAGAGTAGTGTCCATTGGAGGCATCGTTCTGATCCCTTATATCGTGAATATGAAAACCTAAGTTCAATAAACTGTTAGATCCAAATACGATATTAGTTCATTCCGTATATAAAGAAACGGTCATGAATATTTTTTTTATTATGCTTCAAAGGGTGGACGAGGTCACGTTCCACCTGGTGTTAAGTGGTTACCGGAACCCATGCAATGCCGTCGCCCACCTTGGGAAATGAGCTCTAAGTCTACCGTTCACCAGTCTAAGCACAAAGCGACAAACTGCATTTTAAGTCTCCCTTCGTAAAAAAGTTTGACAATCGTGGTACTGTATACAACACACGCATGATTAAATCTATAATTTAATATTATTTTTTCTCAAAGCAGCATTTTATTTTTATCACCCTGCCATTACAATGCATTTGCCGTTGCAATTATATAGGGCTACCACTTATAGTTTTCAGTTTAATTTTGTAAGTAAAATTGCTCTAAATAGGCTGCATCCACAGCCTATTTAGTTTTAAATAGTTCCTGCTGCCAATCACAAAGTGAACGTCGCGATATAAGACTGCTTCACTGCGGAAACAAGACTGATAGTGCTATTTGCCTAGGTACCTGGTTTATTACTGGCGGTAGGACCTCTTGTGAGTCCGCACGGGTAGGTACCACCGCTCTGCCTATTTCTGCCGTGAAGCAGTAATGCGTTTCGGCTAGAAGGGTGGGGCAGCCGTTGTAACTATACTGAGACCTTAGAACTTATATTTCAAGGTGAGTGGCGCATTTACGTTGTAGATGTCTATGAACTCCAGTAATCACTTAACACCAGGTGGGCTGTGAGCTCGTCCACCATCTAAGCAATAAAAAAAAAAAAAAAAATCCACAGCCTATTTTGTTTTAAATAGTTACTGCTGCCAATCACAAAGTGAACGTCGCGATGTAAGACTGCTTCACAGCGGAAACATGCATGATAGTCCCATTTACCTGGTATTCCACTATATGCCATATCAGACAAATTTATAAAGGCAATTTTTGCTGGCTATATGATATCATTCCTTCAAAATAAAAGTCGTTATAACACGTACTAAATACCTAATATCTATTTTCCTAATTTATGTTCAGTTAAAACGTTGTCTGTCGAGCCATTCTGAGGGATCTTCAACCATTGCGTATGAAGTCTTCTGGCGGAAAAAATTACGTTCTTTACAGTGCGTATAAGATCTGATGGGACTCACAAATGGCCATTTTTTAATATACCCATACCCATAGTAACGTGGACGCAGCCTCCTCAAGTCACCGAACGAAAGAGCACGGTCTGCGAATGCAACGCCAGGGGCCAGTCGCGCATGGTGCTTTTTAAACCGCATAATGCAGTCAACGGATTAATATTGTACCTAGTTTAGCTGATGTGGCAATGGGTAGGTCATATTAGCCGGACAGCCGATAACCGTTGGGGTAAACGCGTTCTTGAGTGAAGACCGCGAATTGGAAAACGCGGTGCAGGACGCCCTCAGGCTTGGTGGAGTGATGATCTGTGCAGCGTGGCGGGCAGGAGCTGGATGAGAGAAGCCGAGGATCGAGCTCAGTGGCGAGCAATTGGAGAGGCCTATGGCCAGCAGTGGACTTTTTTTATTGCCCGAGCTGGCAGACGAGCATACGACCCATCTGATGGTAAGTGGTTACCGTCGCTCATGGACGTCAGCAATGCCAGGGGCAGAGTCAAGCCGCTGCCTACCGCTTAATACTCTCCGCAAGCCTCGTTTGAAGAAAGACATGTCATAGCGCTCGGGGAACACCGTGGAAGGGAGCTCATTCCAGAGCAGGATGGTACGTGGCAAAAAAGACCTCTGGAAACGCACTGTCGATGAACGCAGTGGTTTCAGATAATATGGATTAACTCTGTTCCGATGGCGGGAGGTGCGATGATAGAAAGAAGATGAGGGGATCATCTCAAACAATTCCTCAGTGTCCATTCATGTCCAGCAGTGGACTGCTATAGGCTGATGATGATGATGATAATGATAGTAGCAGTAGGTAATTGATCATATTCCTACATTTTTTGTTTCACGTTTAGTTACTTCACAAAGATTAAGGCGTATAACGCATTAATTCTCATTATTCTTATTTACAACCATTCAACATAACAGCACCTGTACTATACTACCTCATAAGAATTATAAAAAAATCCTGAAGCTTAGGGTAAAAAGCACATTATTCTCTTATTCCAGACTCAAAAGACTCAAAGCTAATTTCGGGGTTTCTTGGAGTTCATAATAGGTTCATCTAAGTTATATTATAATGAACGATATCTCTCAATTGCTAAAAATAAAGCTGCTGTTTGATAAAATAAAAATATCTCAGGCCTATTCAACCAAATTAGGTTTCCAAGTGATAAAAACCTCGCGCTTTCCTATGACGAGATCATTAAAAATCACTGCAAGTATAGAAGCTGTATATATTTTATGGTTTTTGAATAACTGATAATATTAGATTTTTTTCTTACTAAGCATAACGGTATTTGCATATATACAAAATACACTTCAACGAGCCGGAATAATTCGAATTAATAAGCTCAAGTTAATACATTCCACTGTCTTTGCATTTCGTTAATCAAGTTTTCTTATCATAATTAAAAATTGTACTCCAAGGCGTCTCTGGTGAGCTGTTTTACATAGAATAATAACCGGACCGTCCAATGCAAAGGGAGTTATTAATTTTTTTTTTACAGAATTCATTCATCTTGTTTCACGACGCGGTCGCTTTCAATAAAACAAAAGATATATTAAAATTATGAATAGTACAAGAATATAATACTGAATATTTAATTTGATGGCGGGGTTGCGTTCGATCCAGTCGTGGTATTCTGAAACTCTTGTGTACAAGGTTGTCTTGTCAAAATTTTTGCCACTCACAACCCCGACCAATACCGACCTTCCCGGTTTTTCGACGGGATCACCTGTCCTCTTGCAAGCTAGTGGACCCCCAGAGTCTCCCATGGCCACGTCCGTGATTGTCGAGTCGGTGCATATAAAGCTATTCATCGTCATCTCCCAATAAATAGAACATTGTTTTAATGTTAGCACTCTGATTGGCGCCAAAAGGAGAATAGGTGAGACGCCATCTTTAGATCGATGGCCGACCTTACCAAAGCCAGCTGATTTACAAGTATTTTGATAATTTTTCGTTTTGGATGCCGGTATTATAAAATCTGCATTCAAATAGAAATTCCACGGTTCCTCGACGAACACGAGAGCTATGTCGTTTGAAGGGAAAAGAAAGTCTGCATGTAGAACTACGCTGTCAATTTTACGCCATTGTATTTTATTTGTGGTCTCCGTTTCGCCGGAATGCTTAAGTTCGTTCTTCAATTCGCCAGCCACGAGCCGCAAGCGCTTCGGATTATGAGCGTAGTAAAAATTGTTTCCTTCGAAGCAATGTGCTGCGGTTAATACTCTATATTCGCCGATAATGCTTCCTCCACAGAGATTATCCCACAAACTGGTGTTTGCGTTGATTTTTTTATATTCCTGTTTTAGTGACACTAAATATGGCACTTGGCCTTCGTATGCTGGTTCGCCATTAACAATTGTCGGCTTAACCCGATATTTAGAATATTTTAAAGTCATAATTATACGTTTATCGTATTCGCACATTGTTGATTGTGTTAAAATTACTATTATTAAGAAGAAAAACATTAAAATTTTAATCAAAATGACAAAGGGATTATAAACTGATCTTGAAATTGAAATTGATATGTGACATTACGTCAGTTAATCTCTTTTCAGTCAAATAATTCAAGTAAAATAGTCGATTATACAAAATATGTAGATAAAATATTAAAATGTGTTTAGTACTTACTATAAATGAGCTGTTTCTACTAAATCCAAGAATAATTCAATACAATTCAATTTAAATTACCTTGACTTAATGGTTTGCCTAAATGAACAAACTAGTAGTGATAGTATAGTTTACAGGCAGAATAAACTTTATTAGTGGGAAGACTTGTTGTGTACTTGTACAGACACTTTTAAGCTGCCTATTTTTTGTCGTCATGAAATTATTAGTTGCAACTTATAAGAGACGTCAATAAGAGCGAGTCAATAGCGATGGTGGATTGCCCAAATTAAAATTACAGTGAGAGGTCCCCTAAATGAGTGCAAGCGAAGTGAATTGTCCCTTCGTAACAAGGTGATACTTTACAAAACTTACATACGTTCCGTCATGACCTATGCAAGTGTAGTGTTCGCTCACGCGGCTTGTATGCACATAAACTTTCTCCAGGTCATCCAATCCCGTATCTGCAGGATAGCCGTTGGAGCACCGTGGTACGTGAGGAATGTTGACCTTCACGACAATCTAAATTTAGAACCGAAACGTAAGTATCTTAAGGTAGTGTCAGAATGCTACTTTGACAAAGCGGCGCGACACGATAATCCTCTTACCGCCGCTAATTGCCTATCCGACCCAGGATACGAGGCAACGCAAAGTCACTGCCGCCGAAACGTGTCTTGTTGGCTCCCCCTGATCCTGTCTCGGTGCTTTTAGGCCCCTAAAGCACCGGTCACCGTCCTCGTCGAACTTGTCGATTACGACGAAGGAGCCCGTACTACTCCGTGTGAAGCAACTACACCAGCATTAAAATCCCGCAGACAGGGTTTTCTTCCCAAAATCTTTACTAAGGAAATACGCTTACTTACCACTTGTTTACGAATGATTAACGATAAGCTATATCGTGTAATAAAAATCGATAAATTTGCGTAGTCACTGGTAGTAAGACGTGTTATAAACGAACACGGGTCACTATCATATGGTCATTTCTTCCGCAAAGCGTTGATACGTTCCACATTGAACGATGGCACGATTTGTTAAATGATACACTACAATTGAGATTTGAGATTAATACCTCAAGATGGGAAATCACGTTGCAATGTACATATGCAATAGAGAAATTAAATCAATTATGTTTATTAAGATTAAAAATATAAAAAACCCTTTTTAATGCAAACCAAAAATGTGACATTTAATTTGAATATTTAACATGTCTTTACCTTGTAACTTTGTGTTCACACGGAGAATAAAGCAATAAATATTAAACAGGGTTCCATCTACGCGTCCTAAAGGCGTCTACATAAGTTTACCAGCAAAAATTAATGCATAAATGTATTTAAATGAAATGTGTTTTTCTTCTTTGCTCGCAAATATTGGGACAGGTAGACAAGAACCCTTCCTGATTTTATTATGTCGGTCATTAGCCCAAACGCATCCTTGAAGACTGATTTTGAAGTCAGTAGAATTTATCATAAAACTAAAGTAACAAAATTAATATGACATAGAACTGTTGAATGGAAAAAATAAATAATAGTTTAAAAAAACTAACAAAATAAGCTTTTATAGAAAATCCAACTAAAAAATAGAAAATAAATTTTAATAAATTTGAATTAAAAATAGTGTAAGATAAAATGATTTTATTGTAAAAAAAAGCGTTAACATTTATAACGTGATTAACTTTCAAGATCTAAAATTAACATCGCTTAACCAGAACAATATTTATGATTCATTTATGAAAATTTCTTATTAAAATTAATTGTCAAATTAAACGCAGTCATTTCGCGGTCAAATCGTTCTATCCCCTAACAAATTAGATGTTCCCGAACAACATTAAGACAAACGACGGATGCGAACGATAAAGAACGTTGTAATTAAAAACAAGTTCTAAGGGGCCTCAACGTTGTATTAATAAAACTGTAAAACAGTATAATTATTATATCTTGTCAATTTGTTTACATAATGGGTTTATAATACCTAAGACCTTTTTATTACATAATTATTGTTGTTTATTTGTTTCGTCTATTGTACAGGCAATAGGTACGTGGCTCATAGAGCCAAACTCTTGACAGAGTGGTCGTGGTCATAAGTTAATAGAATAGGTTAAAAAAAGAGAGTCGACCATTCAAAATTAAGTTTCGAGATGAATATATGCGTTCAGGTTGTTTTTTGTACATATTCGCCTCGGTAACTGTATGCACATAATGATTATACATACAGTACAGGTATCTGGTGGTACCGCCCCGCCTACTTCTGCCGTGAAGCAGTAATGCGTTCCGGTTTAAAGGGTGGGGCGGCACCCGTTGTAACTGTACTGAGATCTTAGCACTTATATCTCAAGGTGTGTGGCGCATTTACGTTGTAAATGTCTATGGGCTCCAGTAACCACTTAACAACCAGCTGGGCTGTGAGCTCGTCTACCCGTCTAAGCAATAAAAAAAAGCCAAATAATATGTGACAGTGACCGACACCATGCCTCTCGATTTAGTCCTAATGTCCATCTTTATACAACATATATTTGGACGAGATAAATACATAACCGATCATGTGGTCCGAATGGTAAACAATCGACGTCGCCCTACGCACGTCATTACGGATCCTCCCGATCCATTAACGGCGCTTTTAGGTAAGAACCTCAAGCACCGGTCACCGTCTTCGCCAAGCCCGTCGCTTGCGATGAAGGGCTCGACGAATAAATTAACTATAATATATAACTATAAAATAGATACGTCCCACTGAGTTTCCCGCCGGATCTTCTCAGTGGGTCGCGTTTCCGATCCGGTGGTAGATACTGCGAAGCACTGCTCTTGCTGGGGCCAGTATTAGCAACACTCCGGTTTGAGCCCCGTGAGCTCACCTACATGTTAGGGCGAAACTGAAATAGCCTCTCAAGGCTATCAGCATAGGTAGGAAAAATAAAAACGAGATAAAAGCAATTTAAACTTTATACAAAAAAACTACTTTCTTACAAAACATTTCTATTTCTGCCGTAAAACAGTAATGCGTTTCGGTTTGAAGGCTGGGGCAGCCGTTGTAACTATACATTACCATACTATTGAGACCTTAGAACTTATATCTCAAGGTAGGTTGCGGCATTTACCTTGTAGATGTCTTCGGGCTCCGGTAACCACTTAACACCAGGTGGGCTGTGAGCTCGTTCACCCATCTAAGAAATAAAAAAAAACAAATCTCTAAAGTATGAAATATTAGTGGTATATAGTAAACTGGACAATATGATATGTACTTCATCACCTAACTACATAATTTATATATTGAATATTGTTCGTTGCTATTTTTAAAAATAATTTTACTGTATTTAAAATAGTACATTATGAAAAATGACAATTTTTACTCCCATCTCATGCCTTTTAATTAGGACATTTTCGCCATGCCCTTTAATTAAGTAATACGATTTTATGACTTTATAAAAGTAACACGATCTGAATAAGCGTGTAGTTGGTATATTACAAAAAACGTGCTATGGTGGAAGGATAATTATTTATTATTATCGAAGTTATAAAGTATATTTACTATGTACTTAACTTTTTATGATAATAGGATGTCATTATGTTGTGTTGGATTACAAATAACAACACCATTTCTTTGAACCTTATTTTTTATTACATTACACAGATACAATCTGCCGTCTCATCATCACCATTATTCTCCTGCCCTTCTCCCAGTCACCTGGGGCGCAACCCGCCGCAACATGCTATCTCCTTCCATACTCCTCTATCATACACAATTTCTTCGCTCACTCCCCTCTTACCCATATCGTCTTTCACGCAATCCATCCATTTCTTCTTAGGTCTACCTCTTCCTCTATATCCTTCCACCTTCATAGTTAACACTCTCTTACCAACCTCTTTTTCATTTCGTCTCATCACATGTCCATACCATCCCAAACGCGCACTTCTCAACTCCTCTGTCACAGGTGCATCTTTCAGACTTCCTCTAACATATTCAAATCAAATAAAAAAAAAATTATTCAACATAAATGAAAGTACATACTTGTTGAACGTCAAAAGAACAACCACCAATTCACAAAAACTAGCCTCCGTCCTGAGAAGAATTGGAAAGAAACTCAGCGGGCATGTCTTTTTTTTTTATATATTAGTTTTTTTTTAAATATTCATTTTTACAATGAGTATTATAACGTAACAATTATTAGGGGAGAGGGGGATAGCCCCGGCCATTTTTTTGTTTTCGATATTATGACTATATTTATTAAGTAAAATAATAAAAAAACTATTAAAAATAATCAACATTATATTTATTTAAGATAAATATCGAAAACTCAGACAACAACATAATCCCTCTGTAATTAAAGCCACTTGAAAAAGTAATCAAATTTTGGTATTCCTTAAAGATGGCGGGTAGCTCCGGCCACCCAGGTATTTAAAGATTAATGCGTTTTTTGGCAACACATACATCACAGTAATAGTATAAATGAGATGGATTTAAATCTACACAAGCTTCGTGAGCCCAGTCCTCACATATTTTGCAATTTTGCATTGGATCCAATCCTCATCGAATGTTTCACCGCAAATAATGCATTCCGTCTCCTGATGTGACGAATCTGGCTGAGATGCAACCTTCTTAACTTTTACTCCCGTTTTTATGTTTCTCTTGACCTTTACCGCACCTTTGGTGTCTTTACCGCACCTTTGGTAGAACGCATCAAGCTAGTTGCCTCAGGAGTTCTTAATGCCACATCTGGATTTCTTTTCTT